CCCCCCCCGCACCCCCCTGCCGCCCCAGCCTGGGGCTCTCCCCCCTATCCCACCCCACCCGCACCCCCTGCCACTCCAGCCCTGGGATCCCCCCCACCAGTGCTGACTCCGCCCGCTCCCCCGTCACCTCCAGCCGATCCGGCACTGGCAGGGTCGGGGTAAGCAGCGGGGCTCCCGGGCCGCGCCTAAGCACAGGGGTCCCTCCAGCCAGGCCTCCTACCTCCAGGACCGGCCGGGACCTGGGAGGGCAGAGCCGGGGGACCGCCCCGGCAGGGGGCTGAGGAGCCGGGGCAGGGTAGCCCCAGAGGGAGCAGAGCCCCAGAGAGCTGGACGCGGGCCCTGCACGGCAGCGCCCCGCCCTCTATAGCCCTGCTGCTGCTGCTGCTGCTTCTGGCCTCCCTGCCGCAGTCCCTGGGCGGCTCGGGCCGCTTCGCCCAGCCCCGGCTGCGGTGCTGGGGGGCGGCCGCTCTGCGGCACCTGCAGGCGGCTCCCTGTGCCCCACGGGGCGGCCCCCAGCCCAAGTGTCCCCCGCTTGGAGCCTGCCCAGTCCAGCCACAATTGCAGGCGCTGCTCCCCCGCGGCACGAACCGCAGTGGCCCCAGGGCGCCCTATGCGCACCACGCGCTGCTGCTGCCAGCCCAGCTCTAGTCTTTTGCCACCTGAAGCAAAAAAAAGATGGCCGGAATTCTGCCCCTGAAAATGTGCCGCCCCAAGCACGTGCTTGGTTTGCTGGTGCCTAGAGCCGGCCCTGGTGCATGCGCCGTAGATTTTGTGGCATATAGCTGGCACCAGTCAGTAGTTATTGAGCCACTGGACTGGGAAACTGCACAGGTGGGCAGCACTGTCCAGTTCACGATGCTGTTTGAAGTTGAAAGTTTTCCATTGGACAAAATGGTATGTGCACAAACATCACATTACAGTAACTTGATTTTTTTTTGCATTTAATTTCCTTGTTTGAGTTTTTTATTTGTTGGATTATTTTTTTCTTAGTTGTATGTTTCAATTAGCCACGTAAAGTCTGACTCAGGGCGTGGGAACAAGGGGAAAAAGCCTGCCGTGGTTAGTGCAGAGTAGCGATGAGTGGTCACACAGGGTGTTAGCTGCACTAACTCTCCGTGTGGACACGCTTATTGTGGACTGAGAGTGTGTGCAGTAGCTTAATGCACTTTCAATTCACACCCTAGTGTACTGTGCACTAACTTCCCTGTGTATATAAGACCTCGCACAACTTATCCTACCAGCCCTGGCTGCTTGGGTCTAGTCATGCAGGACCATGGGGACTTCATTCCTCTCTCCTACAAATCATTACAGCTGCCGCCTGAACGTGACTGGTTTCAATCACTAATGTAGCTTTTTACCATTTTTTTTAAATGTTCCCCGACCCACTCAAAGGCTACGAGTGTCCCATGGCCATGCTGAGGTCAACGTTCGAGGCCTAAACATCCAAACTTGGGTGTCTAAAGTGAGCCACCTAAATCCATTGGGGAGCTGAGAGACCTGAGTTTGCAGCTATGCTACTAACGTGCTGTGTGACCATGAGCAAGTCACTTCTCCTCCCTGTTTCTCTGTTTCCCCTCCTGCCCTTGGCTCTCTGACATGTTTAGACTGTAAACTCTCCCGGCATGTATGAACAGCACCCACCACAGCTCCACAACCACAGAGAGCCTACAGCTGCCCAGCGAGACACGCTCTTTAGGTAGGAATGGTCAGTTCTTATGTGTTTGTATAGTGCCCAGCACAAGGGGGCCCAGCCTGGCTGAGGCCTTTACACACCACTGCAATATACATGCAAACCCATAACAGCAGCTGCCAGACAGTAACAGAGGGCACCCGGTAGTTAGAGAGCACAGTGCCTGGAGCCTTACAAAAAGCCAAGGCAGACGGCGTAGAGCTAGATTGGAAAGACTCGGTCACAAGCAAATGGTAACCCCTGGAGATTACAAATCAGAACAGCTGAGCGCATA